CTCATCTATAAAATGAGCTGGAGAAGGAAATGGCAAACCACTCCAGGATCTTTGCCAAGAAAACCCCAAATGAGGTCACAAAGAGTTGTATACAACTGAAATGACTCAACAACAAAAATGGAGGAAGAGAAGGGAGTGAGGGAAAAGGAGGGAGGGCAAAGAAGATAGGGTAAAGGATGAGGAGAGACAGGGCAAAGAGGGAGGGGGAGAAAGACAGAGGGAGAATGAAGAGGGGGGTGGGGGGAAAGAGCTAAACTAGAATGCATACTTTTGAGTGGTGCTCTCTCTTTCCCTCTGGCTAAGACTTGCAGGGGTGAGCTGGCCTTATCGGTGGGAATATCCCCAGTAGCCCTCCTATTGATCCCATTATTTTTTACTGCAAGTGATAAGCCCTAGACAAAAGAAATTTTGTGATCCAGAGCAAAAATAGGAAGTCTAATTCTCTTTTTCTTGTTGACAAACATGTCCTCAAACTCTTAGGCTTACTTTTTTTTTCTCAGAGCATGAGCCCAAATTCAACTTTCACCTTTTCCCCAGAGACTTTTCTCAAATGTGGCTTATCTTGGAGATACTTGGTGCTGGAAACTTATTAGTACCATACTTGCTGGATTATTCTTCTCTGTTTTCCAACTTATGAACCTTTAGCAGATCTGATTGGAGGAAAAATATTGTTCAGTTCTACCAATGCAGAGCAAAGTTGCTGTATGCCTCATTTTTTAGCTCTTTTTTGTTTGGGGAATTAGCATTTATTGCAAAAGAAATTGTCATTTTCTTTTCTCTTGTCTCCTCTTCCTGTTCTCTTTTTTTCTTTTCTTTTTCCTTTTTCTGTTTTTTTTTTTTTATTTTGGCTAGGCTAAGTGGAGCAGCTGGCTTTGGCAGGCAGCCTGAGTCCCTGGAGAAATCCTGAAAAGAGGCCTGCCTCGAATATTTTCTGTCTCTCAGGTTGTAAGGAAAATCTTGGAGAATGGTTCTCATGCTTTTTCTTGCTAGGGAATTCTCAGCTGTTTTTGTTTCACATAGTAGGCAAGCACTTGATTTAGTAAACCTGCACAGTAACTAATGATGATGTTCAATTTTTAGGAGAGAAAATCCTTTCCCATTAAGGCTTTTGTAAGAAGTCCTAAGATCATTTGGATAGAGAAACTCAGTGAAGATCATGGCCAACCTAAGCCATTCCCCACCACCCCCACCACTCCCATTTTAGATCCAAGAGATTTTATTAAAGTATTGTTCGTGTGTCAAGAGGGCAGAATTAAGGCATTTGTTGGTCTGTGGTAGGGGGATTGAGGGAGATTGCTGTTCATTTATGAGCAGTTTGAGATTGGTGGTGCCCATCTCTGAATTTTTCTGATCATGCACCCTCGTGAGTAAAATATTTTAAGCATGCATCCCATATATAAAAATTATATTCAAATGCAATTATGTACATCATTAGAATGTACAAAAATAGAAAATTAAAAGGGATGGCATGAAAAAATAGTTAAGATTTTTATTTTATTAACAGTGGAAAAGCCTTGTTCTCACAAAAGCATAATTAATTTAACTTTTCTTGCAAACAGTGCACCTAAATCAGCTTCATTATTTTGAAAATCTTGGTTAAATGCCTTCTGATAGAATTATTCAAAGGTCTGGTTCTAACTTCAGTTGATTGTGATTATTTGATTTTAATGGTGGTCATAGTTTATAAAGATAAATCAACAGAGATTTGGAGATGCCAAAGGAAAAAGTGCATCCTGGTAAGTGCTGACTAAATCATGATACTTATTTTTCAGTTCCATCCACCAAGTACTCAAAGGTCATGTTGAAATTCAGCTAGCAAATTTTCATCTTGCAGTTCTTGCAAACTGATCAGAAAGTGTTGCATTTTTCTATTTTTGACATATTGGTCTGAAATCTACTAAACCTCTGGGTTGGAAAAATCCATTTCCAAGCTTGTCTGCAAGTATGGGAGTTTTTGTAGGAGACTCGCATTGCTTGATCAACAAGAGTTCAGTTTTTTAATGGCTTGCTAATGGCTTTATTAGTCAATCAACAAGTATTTATTAAGTGCTTACTATTTAAGTGTTGGAGATACAAAGAAAAGGTGAAAACAGTCCTTGCCCTGAAGTGGCCTATATTCTAACAGAAGACACAACATTTATATAAATAAGTATATAACAGATAGATATGGAACAGGTAGAAGGAAAGGCAAATGGAGAGTCTGTGATGGACTTCATTCAGAATGTGCGTTTGAGCAAATCCTTGAAGGACACTAAGAGGCAAAGGTAAGAAAGGATTCCAGGGATTGAGGGACAGCCAATGCAAAGACGAGGAAATGGGAGATGAAACATCATGTGTGAGGAATGGCAAGCAGACCAGGATGGCTAGATCATAGAGAGTATAGAGGGAAGTAGTGGATAAGAAGATTGGAAAGCTAAGAAGGGGGCCAGGTTGGGAAGATCTCTTAAAGGACAGAGGAGTTTCTATCCAATACTGAAGGTGCTAGGGACCCCCTGGAGTTTGAGCAGTAGAGTAACATGGTTAGACTTGCATATTGGAAAACTCAATTTGGCAGCTGAGTGACAGGATGGATTAGAAAGGGGAGTGACTTGGAGGGACGAAAACAGGAAGCTACTGCAGTAGCCTAGGCGGAAGCTGATGAGGTTATGGACTAAGATGATGGCTGTGTGAGTAGAGAGAAATGGAAGAAATGTTGTAGAGATAGAAATGACAAAGTCTGGCAGCTACTTATCATCACTGTCTTAATCTCATAATGTGGCCCATGAGTGGCTTACACTAGGCATAGAAGGATCAACTCTGATTTTTTTTCTTTTTACATACCTTTGGTCACATTATTAGTATTATCTTCAATCTATGTTTTCTTTGCAGGGATATATAGGATGAGAGAGTGAAGAGTTGAGGATGAAGATGATGTTGGGAAGCTGTGGGACTAGAGGGACAGTAACTGAAAGGTAATGGAAGAGGGGTGGGCTTGAGGAGAAAGTTAGTAGTTTGGTACCTTTGGCATTTGAGATGCCTACGGGATATCCAGGTTAAAATATCCAGTAGGGGGGGACAGCTAGGTAGCGCAGTGGCTAGAGCACCTGGAGTCAGGAGGACCTGAGTTCAAATGCGGCCTCAGATATATAACATTCACTAGCTGTGTGACTCTGGGCAAGTCGTTTAACCCCAACTGCCTCACACACAAAAAGACTTGGGGGGAAAATATTCTGTAGGTATTATAGGACTGGTGTTCAAGATGAGAGACTAGAGTTGTACAGTGTACATAGAGATCTGAGATACATCTCCATGACCAGCTCACCAGGTGAGAGACTATAGAGTGTAGAAGACCAAGGATGGAGCACTGGGGGTTCAAGCACAGTTAACATTGATAAAGATTCAGCAAACAAGATTGAGATGGAGCAAACAGGGAAGAGGAGAGTGAGGAAAGAGTAGAGGCATGAAAACCCAGGATTGAGAGTAACCAGGAGAAAAAGGTGACTGGCAGTTTCAAATGTTGCAAACGGGTCAAGAAGGATGAGGACTGAGAAAAGGCCGTCAGATCTTGTAATCAAGAGATCATTGGTAACATTGGAGAGAGCAGTTTCAATTGAATGATGACATAAAAAGTCAGACTGCAGAGGGTTTACAGAAGAGAGGAAAAATGGATACTATCAATTAGCTCCAAATACAATATACAAATAAGGTGAGGTTCACTTGTGACCGAGAGTGGGTATAAAGCCTTACTTTCAAATCTTGGTAATTTTGAATATTTGTTTTAATCTCACAATGTAGCCAATGAATGGCTTATCCAGTGTTTCTTTTTTTTTTTTTTTTTTTTGGTTAGGCAATAAGGTTAAGTAACTTGCCCAGGGTCACACAGCTAGTGAGTGTTTTGGTCTGAGGTTGGATTTGAACTCAGGTCCTCCTGAGTCCAGGGCCAGTGCTCTATCCACTGTACCACCTAGCTGCCCCATATCCAGCGTTTCTTGAACTGTGGGTTACGACCCCATATGGGGTCATGACCCACAGTTTAAGAAGTTCTGAAGACATCCCAAGTAGAAAAAGTTTAAGAAACCCTGGTTTACACTAGCTATAGAAGGTTGTAGAGAGGATTCTCTCTGCTGTGTTGGATTGAAATATAGAGTAGCCATGGCCCAAAATGCTGTCTGCCACTGGCTTACATGAACTGAGGACAGCAGATGAGAATTCGCATCAAGGAATGGATTTTGCATAGACTCTCGTTCTTCGCAATGTATGCTTGGAGTTTATAAATTAATTGTTCCACACCTAAACTTTTGCTCTTTGGAGCTTCTGTTAGGAAAGATAAGGAGCCTACTTTTCTTTCCCTTCTCTCTTCCCCTCTCCCCTCCACCCCCAGATTTAGACTGAGAACAAGATCACTGCATAGGAGGAGAGCCGATGCATATTTGAGCAAGGGGTCAGAAAGTATATTACAGCCACATTGGACATGAAAAGGCTAAAGAATGTTCTGTACCTAGTCTCAAACATAAGACCCATGTTCAGCCATGCTAATACACAGCTCTTTGAGCCACTATTTCATTATTCTTACCCCAGTGGTAGGGGAGAATGCCAGAGGAAGAAGGGTAGGAGGGAGATAAAGTTATCATCCATCACCATCACCACCATCATGACCAGTTGTTTTTACAGCAATTTAAGGTTTCCAGTGTTTTACAAGTGTCATCTTATTTCAGCTTCACAACCCTATCAGAGAGGGACCCCCAGGTAGTAGTTTCACAGATGTGCAAACTGAGGCTCAGAGGGTCTGTGACTTTGCTTCCAGTCACTGAGCCAGGATGTGTCAGGGTGACATTCCTGACTGCCATCATGTCATATTGCTCTCTCCTTTAAAAGGATGATCTGCGTGAGCATGCTTATAGCATCATTAGGCCACACTCCCCAGGCAGTGGCTGCCCGTGCAATTTGGATGACTTCCATAAGGCACTAGACTGAATCAAAACACTCAAAAAATTCCAGGGGCTTAATGAAGAAATGCTCACCCGCACACAGAGCCTCAGCATCTTGGTCATCAATTATTTGTAACGGTTCAGTAAAGAAGGGCATGAGGGTACTTGCAACTGGAGAAAGAAAAACATAAGAGAACATCAGTGGATGAAACGATGTCCCTGTCTCAAATCTCACCCCACTCCAATCTATCCTCCTCCACACAGCTGCCCAAATGATGGTCCTATAGTGGTACATCTGACCATGTTTCTCCTTAATAAACTCCTGGGCTTCCCTATTGCTTCTAGGACTAAATATAAACTCTATTATTTGGCATTTCAAACCTTTTACAATCTCCTGACCTATCTTTTACTACACATTACTGCCCCTCATACATTATGTGGTCCAGTTAATCTAGACTTCTTACTATGCCTCACACATGGTCTTCAATTTCCTTTCTCTATGCCTTTGTATTGGCTGGCCCCCCACCTGTTAGATTCAGCCTGGGCACCACCTACAAGGAGCCTTTCTTGAGCCCCCTGACTGCTAGCCCTGCCCTCCCTCTCTGGCTCCCTATCACTTGGTATCCATTTAGTATGCATTTGTATATTGTCATTGGGCACATGTTGTCTCCCCGGTTACAATTTAAGCTCCTTGAAGGCAAGGACTCCCTTTGTCTTTGTGTCTCCCATACCTGGCATAGTGCCTGGCACAGAGTAGGTGCCTTATTACATTCTTTTTGATCAACTGATGGATCGCTGGAAGTGCCGGTGTTGAGCAAGTAATACTTGCCCTTTGTATGTGGCATCAAATATATGGTCCTTCCTTGTAGAACCAGGAGCAGTGCGGACTTATAGGATAAGTATAGTTAGGGAGGGGGAAGATAAGAGCTGCTGGAAAATTGTAGCAGATAAGAGTATAGATTCTGACTGCTGAGGGAGGGGATTCAGAGGATATGAGGCTTTGGGTCAAGTGCTTCTGTGTATACTCCAGGGGCTAGAAGGGCTTTGAAGTTAGCAATGAGCATTAAGTATGGCACCTCATCTGAGCCTTACAATGTGCTTGGGCAGCAGCTACTTGCAGACCTTATTCCTATTTCACAGATGAGGAAACCGAAGTAGAGAGAGGGAAGGTGACTTTGTTGTTATCACGTGGCTAGTAAGTGTCAGAGGTCTTATTTTATCCCAGAGAAAGGTCTCCTTGCCTTCCAAGTCTGGGCTGATACCCTCTCTCTCTCCAAAACTTTTTTTTTTACCTCTATGGTAAAACCTGTTCATTGGACACATTCTTCTGGGCAGATGCAGTCATGTCTCCCATCTACGTGGTATGTCTCACAGTAACTGAGGATGGCAAGTGCCAACCTTGACCCATGACACAAAGGTTAAAAATATGGGCTTCATAGGCTGTCTGCTTTAAGAAAAATAACAGTGTATGTCATTTGAGCTTGACAACATCCCTCTAAACTAGGTTCTTCAAATACTATCCCCATTTTATAGATGAGGAAACTGGATCTCAGGTTGTGACTTGCAAATGGTCACAAAGCTATAGAGTTTCAGAGGTCCAATTTGTACCCAGGTCTTTCTAACTGCATGCCCAGCATTCTGTTCATTTAGACCAAGGGTGGGGAACCTGCGGCCTTGAGGCCACATGTGGCCTTCTAGATCCTTAAGTGTGGCCTTTTGACAGTGGCCTCAAGGCCACAGGTTGCCCACCCCTGATTTAGACTATCTTTCTACCAAGTTTGGGTCACTTCACATGCAGTGATCACTGATGCCATTCAGATGACTCCAATATACAACTAGGCCATGAAGCAAAACCCTCAGAGACAAAAATTCAAAAGACTCAATGAAGAAATGTTCATATACCATCTTGTTCGTTGTTACTGGCTTCTAAAGAATGCACTGGTTCAAGAGCGTATATCGGTGCGCTTGTTTCTGTTAGAAGAAGGAAAAAGGGATCACCACATATGGACCACTGACACAGTCTTAGACAGTAGCTTTGTCTCCCAGCAGGAGCAGTGGGCATGTGGGGGAGGGGTCATACCTTCTGCACAGTTCTGAGTGGTATAATCTTGACAGTCACTCAATGCCGTTTCGAGAGCAGGTTGGTTTAGTAATTCGAGCGGGGCTTGGCGATCAGAAGAGAGAGAAAAAGAACCTTAATAAACAAATAGAAGCTAATGAAAGACATTCAGTCCCTTTCATAAGATAGTATGATAATGGTGTAAAGTAAGAGAGCTGGTCTTGAGATGGCTTCTGAGCTATTGCAGCTAGAGCAAAAAGAGAATCATTGAATGAGAGATTAGAATGGACCTCTGTCGGAGGCCATCGAGTTCAGCCTCTTCGCTTCCCAGAGAAGCTAACGTTGGAAAGGGCCTCATTGCTTCTTGCCTGAATGATTGCAGTGCCCTCCCAATGAAGTGACACATAGGACCCTAGACCTATTGGTTGGAAGGGACTCTCAAGTCCGACTAGTCCAATTCCTTCAACTCTCCCGTTTGCAAAAAACATTGACTTCTCTTCACTATTATCCTCTAATAATAGAGTCTATATTTTTGTTGATGATTTTTCAGCAACCCTCTTTCCTGTCCTCTCTTTCTTCTCTTCTCCCTTCCCCAATGAAATAAGGCAGATGAAGATACTGAGAGTCATTTGCCCAAGGACCCGCAGCTCATAAGTATCAGAGGTAGAATTTGAACCCAGGTTCTGGGGTTGCATTTGGTGCTTTTTCCATTGCATCATGCTGCCTCCTGTGCTCTTTTGCAAATCTCTTTAGGTCCCTCTCCAGTTTCATGCCATAAGCCTACTTGTTATGATGCTATCATGCATTTCCAATGATTCCCTTTTTGCATCAAACACCCAGGAGAGAAACATCTGAGAGGCTCAGGAATGAGATGCTCACCTTGAGGAAGTTCTTGCAAAGAATGTGTTTGCACTGTGCCAAGAGAATATATGGGTATATATGAGGCTGTCAGAAGACAAGGGACAAGAAACGTGAGCAGTAAATCAAAGAGCATTTATCAAGCCCCTGCTGTGTGCCAAGTACCATGTGCAAAAAAAGAGTATCTCACATTGCGTGGATTAATGTGGCCCCAAATGAGGAACTTTGTCATCCAGGAGGAGTTACAGACATTTGAGCTCATGACCTTTAAAAAAAATCAGTTTTATTGATACCTTTTCATTTTATACAGCATGTCCCAAAAGTCTTAGGGCAGTTTTAGGTTTTAAAGGCTTACAACTGCACTAAGATTTTGGAAACATCCTGTATTAATTGGTTCCAGGCATTTCCTTTACCTCCCACATTGGCCTGGAAATTGGACCCTCCCTCATAACAAAGAAACGCAGGGAAGTGAAGAGTCCTTGAGTTCAGGCACTGTTGGGGTTTTTTTGTCTTGATGTTCCCAGAGCCTAATGCAGTTGCTTAATGCATGCTTGCCAATTAAGCAAAAACCAACAAAAACCCAACAGATAAAGTAACCACATGTATACAACATTCAGCCCTCCTAGTTCCCTCCCCCTCTGCCAAGAGGGGAGAGGGAGTATTTTTCATCATCTGTTCTTTAGGACCATTATTAGTGTCTGAAATACTTAGAATGCAGCTTCTATTCAGTGATATTTTCATATATTCATATTACTGTAGTTTAAAAAGATCTATATTCTTCTACCTCTTTCGCTGTCTCTCCATCAGTTCATAAAAATGTTCCCATGCTGATCTACATCTAATTTCTACAAGCTGCTTTCTCATTTTCCCAGTAGTTCTTGTCAAAAAGAGAGGACTTTCCCTAGAAATTTTCTGTTCTTGGCTTTTTCAGATGCTAACCTGCCTTCTTCACTTGGTTCTGGTTTTTGAAGACCTATTGATCTATTTAGGCATTTTGTTTAAATGAGTACCAAATGGTTTTGATTATTATGACTTCATATTATGTTTTGATGTCTATTAATGCAATACCCCCTTTATCCCCCCCACTTTTTTCTGATTTCTAGATTCTATATCGTTTGCTTCTCTGAATACACTGTTGTTATTTTGTTCAGTTCTAAAAAGTATTTCCTTGGTCATTTGATTACTGTATTATTAAATGTATAAACTAATTTGGGTAATATTTTTATCATATTTGCATAGCCTGATCATGGTCACTTTATACTTTAGTTATTCATTTGCCTTGATTTCTGTAGTGTTTTGTAGTTACTAATGGAGAACGTGGGTGTGTCATTAAATAGAGCTTTAAGTTCCTTGACGGTAGAGACTTTCCCATTGTGTTGCTATCTCCAGTGTCTGGCACATAGCAGGCACTTAATAAATGCCTGATGATTTGTGTTTGTAGGAGGTTAACTCTCAGATAATGTATACATTCTGTCTTTACTCTGAATATTGTTTCTTTTATTGCTTGTTCTCTGGTTTTGTTGGTGGTACATTAAAATGCTGGTGATTTTTACAAATTTAACTTGTATTTTGCAACTATATTAAAGCTATTAACTGACTCAATTAGTTTCTTTCTTTGATTCTCTGGCATTTTCTAAGTGCACTCTTATTTTATCAACTACTGATATTTTTGTCTTTTGGCCAACGTTTAGGTCTTTGTTTTCATTTCTAGAATTATGACAAAAAGGAGTGAAGATGAGGATATTTCCTAGTTTTTCTGCAGTATATATTAATACTATCTCTGGGTTTTAGAGATGCTTTTGATTGCATTAAAGAAGGCCCATCCCTTCTGCATAGTTTTGTGGATTTCTTCTCCCTTGTTGGGAGACCAGGATCAGTTGGCCTTAGTGAATTTCTGGGATGGGGGAAGGAGTGAATTTAAAGAAGGGAGATGAGAAGGAAGAAGCAGTCACTGTGAAACTTTTTAACAAAAATATAATATTTCTTCCTGGGGTAGAGGATACGGGTATCAACCCAGGGATAGTCACCATGGGTCAGGGTCTCAAGCAAGTAGTCAGTCACATGAAAGCGGGAAGAGACTAATACCAAAAAGTCCATAAAGAGCCTTAGACATGATATTTCATTTGAGCTTTACAATAACCCTGGAAGATAAGTATTACAGGCATCATTGTCTTCATTTGACAGATGAGGAAACTGAGGTTTAGTGAGGTTAAAGGACTTTGCCCAGAGTCACATGGCTAGCAAAAATTACAGATGAAATTTGAAACAATGTCTTACCTCCCCATTTTGAAGGGGGAACTAGATGAACACTTTTCCAACATGATTGGGCCATGCTCCACATGCAAGGGTTGTTGGTGCAATTCAGACAATTTCCATACCTGCTGAGGCTATGAACCAAAACTGTTCCAGAGCATTGCTAGTGGATGGATAAAATACTCACCAACCGGCTGATTTTCCTTATCTTGAAGAGTTTGTGATTGCATTGCCCCAAATGAGTACAAGGGTGTGTAGGAGCCTGTTAGAGAAAGGAGAATCCCTTTAGATAGATTGAGAGATTGTGGCCCAGCCTCCCTCTGTCTGAGCTTGAATAAAGAGCTTCAGGCCACCGAGAGTTGCAGACATCTATGCCCGTATTTTTTGGAGGGCCCGGAAGCATTCTGCCTTCTTGTACCGTGGGATGGATATGGATGGTGGGTGTCATTAGAGAAGTTAGATGGGACAGCCAGTTGTCAGAGCATATTAGCAAACACAGAGTCACAGCAATGAACAGAGACTACAACCGCCAGGGTAGCGTATGAAGATGGTGCAATATCAGTGCTTAGAATCATTGGCAGTTTCTTATGCATGTACTTCATGGGTTGAAATGGTAGGACGTTAATAACTGGCATTCAGAGGAGGACTTGGAAATTTGAAAAAAAAAATTGCAGCAGCTTTATATACGTTGTCTCATTTGAGATAGGTACTATGGGTCATGTGATCCCCATTCCACAGATGGGGGCAGTGGGGCTCAGAGAGGTTTAATGACTTGCTCATAGTCTTATCTAGGAAGTATCAGAGGACAGATTTGTACCCAGGTCTTTTTGACTGCATGCTCAGCATTCTATCCACAATACCAGGCAGCGTCCCCACTTAGGACACCTTTTAAAAATGCTTGGAGTATATGGGGAATGGTCCACATGCAGTGGTCATACTGTGCTTCATGTGATTTCTATGCACTGCGAGGCCATTAATCCAAACCCTTAAAGAGAGGGTTAGTGGCTCAGTCAGGGCATCCTTACCTCCATTCAGAATGTCTTTTCCCTGTAAAGTATATGTTTGTATTGGGTCAGTGGTATACACAGGTACATATGTGGCTGTAAACAGAGAAAGAATAGCACATGGAAAAGAGGTTCACATTGCGCCAGCCCAGCCTTTCTTCTTCTACATGTACCAGAAGCTTTATTGCCCAGATGACGTTGAAGCTGCATCAACCTTTGTTTTTTTTTTTTAATCAACTTGATAGTCACTCATTTGGGGCCCAAGAGCAAGTCTCCTTCACCGCACTGTGGGACTGGACTAGAGGAGAAAGTAAATGCTGTCTTTACTTCCCAAGGTTAGAGGATAGAATCTGCAAAGTCTAACCAAGAAGCTTGACTTTGATTGCCAGAAAATTCTAAACCATATTATTAAAGGGATGGTTATTGAATCTCTAGAAAAGAAAGCAGTGATCACAAAAAAAACCAAATCATTATGACTTCATCAAGAACAGATCATGGCCAACTAAACTTATTTATTACTAATATGGTAAAATAAGGGGAAAGCTCCAAAGTATAGTCTGCCTAGATTTGAGCAAAGAGTTTGAAACGATATTTCACGTTATTCTGGTGGAGAAGATGGTGAGATGTGGGCTTCTCTAGTACAGTTAGATTCCGACTGATTGCCTGGAGTAGTCATTAATGTTTCCATGTCAACTTGGAAGAACTTCAGTAGTATGGCCTGGTCATCTGTGCTTAGCCCTATGCTATTATGTATTCTTATCAGTGACTCATTTAAAGGCACAGGAGGAGTACTTAACAGTTTGCAGATGCCGCAAAGCTAGAAGACATATCTACCTAGCATAACGGATGGCAGACTCAGGATATAGCCTGTCAAAATTTGTCTATGGGCTAGCAGAGTGAATGAATCAGAGTAACTGAGAGTTCCATGGTACTTGAGAGTCTGCAAAAAGCTTTGGCTCATTTGAGGATCCTCATTTGATGTTGTTCCTAAGGCTCATATTAGCCTCATTTTGCAGATGAGGACACTGAGGCTAAGAGAATTTAGGTGACCTGCCCATAGTCATAGCTAGGAAGTATCAGAGGAGACATTGGTCCCCAGATCTCCCTAGCTCAGTGTCCAGCATTCTCTCTGCAATGTCATGCCACCTCCCTTTTGAGGACATCTTTCCATCACAATTGAGCTACCATGTACCTGTAGTGGTCATAGACATAATTCACATGACTTCTATACATTGCTAAAGTTTGAATCAAAATCCTTAGAGCTGAGGTTTTTCACTTGGGTTCTGTGAATTTTCTTTTAAAAAGTATTTCAATAACACTTTAATATACTTGGTTTCCTTTGCAATTGTATATACTTTATGTTATGTAGTTAAGAACATAATTCTGAGAAAGGGTCCCTAAGCTTCACCAGCCTACCAACAGGTACAACCTGGCACAACAAAGGTAAAGAACCCTGCCTCAGAGAGAAAAATTCTAGTGGCTCCATGATGAAATCCTCACCTGTTTGCAGACTGTCCTTGTCTTGAATAGTAAATGTTTGTACTGGGTCAGTAGCAAATAAAGGTACGTATGTGGCTGTAAAAAGAGAGAAGGAAAAGCACATGGGAAAGATGGTCACATTGTACGGGGGCTGACGTAGTGTCTATTGTTCGACATGGAACAAAAGCTTCATCCCCCTCTCTCCGATGGAAACGGAGGGTCGTAGGCTTTGGATTTGGCACCACCTTAATGGTCATTAGGAGCAGTCTGGCTCTTTAGTCTGTGGGGTGGAGGCCTTAGAGGAGAGAGATGGGCTGGCAGACACATCTATTCTGAAACAGGACTCCCCAGACAAATACAGAAACACCAACTTCCAGGCTCGAAATTCAGATGATGCAAGTACTGAAGCTATGCATCAGAACCTAATTTCCTTTATCCTGCTTGGATGCTGGGGGCCAGGAAGATAACCCTGATAGCTGTCATTTACCTGGTGCTTAAAAGTTTGCTAAGGCTTTGCTCATGGTAAGTTTCAGACCCATGAGTTCTTGGGTATAAAGCTTCCACACTTTGTGTTTGGTGCCTTCCTACAACCCAGTGAGATAAGCACCACAGATTTTATCATTCCCATTACAGAGTTGAGGAAATTGAAACTGGGAGTTGAAGTGACTTGCCCAGGGTCACACCCGAGGCTATCTTCCAAATCACTGTCTTCCTGACTCCAAGCCCAGTATTCTATCCATTGTAGTTGACTCCTTTAATAAGCCCCCGCCAGTATAGGGAAACCTGGCCAGTGAACACCTCATTTTTGGTCACGTCCCCTGTACAGAGAAATGCACCTTTCTGTTCCACTTAGATAGCATAAGTGCCTTTCAGGATCTATGGCACTGGTGTTCATAACAGGTACTTTGTGTGCTAGCAGGGTTCGAGAATAAGTGATATTGACTTTATGCTTTCTCATGGGGTTACATCCTCCCTCTGACCCGTCCCGGCATCGTTAGCCTGTGCAAGTCACTGAAACTCTCAGCACCCTACGCAACCCTGAATGGGTTTAAAGGCAGTTATCTATACCAGTGAGGTCACAGGTCCTGTCTCTCTCCCTCATAACTCTGAGGTCCCTATTTTATCAAAGAGAAAAGTGGGGTCCAAAGAGGCTCAGTGATCACTTTCTTGGGGATTTTAGCAGATCTTATACATTCAATAAACATCTCAGATGGCTCCCAATAACCAGCATATGTGGTGCTCATCTCTCCCGCCAGCCCCATATCACCAGTGTCTGCTGGATACTTTCACCTGCCTATTCCACAAACATGAAATGCAGTAGGTTCCAACCAGAACTACTCGTCTTGTCTCCTAAACTCCACCCACCCTTCTCCTAACTTGCCTTGATATTTTTCAAAGACACCACCATCCTTTTAAGTCATCCAGGCTTCTAACCCTGGAGCCAACCTCAGCTCTCAGTCCTCCTTCACTCCCCACTTCCAATCAGCTGGCATCAATTCTACCTCCACGGCTTTTCTCCTGTTTGTCACATCTTTACTCAAATGGACATCCCCTCTCCCCATCCTAGCCCTCATCACCTCTCCCCCGATTATTGCAATAACTTCCTAATAGGTCTCCCTGCCTCTAGCCTCTTCCTCTCTCCAAACCATCCTCCACACACCTGCCCAACTGATACCTGTAAAGTGGGCATCTGTCCATTTCTCAAGGGACTTCAGGTTCTCTTTACTACTTTGTGGGAAAAATACACATTCCTCAGTTTGGCATCAGAAGCTCTTCCAAATCTGGCTCCAATGACTCTTTCCAGACTGATTTCACATTATGGCCATTCTCACTCAACATCAATGGCCCATTCTCATGCATCTCCCCCTCTCCCTCCCCTCAAGGGCCTCCTGGTGGCCCAGCCCTTCCCTGGCTTCAGTGCCTAGAGTGGAGGCCCCATGGCTTGGGACTGCTGGGAGCCAGAGCAGGAGTCGAATTTGCATAATCCATACTTCCCATCCTGCACTCTGTTTCAGCCAAAGTGGCCTGCTTGGTGCTCACCATACATGACCTTCCATCTTTTATCTCCATGCCTTTGCATAGACTGGCACTCATGGCTGAAATAAATGATGCTGCTTATAAAAGACCTTCCCTGATTGCATCCTGAAATTTCGTTGCATTTCTTTTACATATGCTTTGTATGTTTCCATTTAGGCACATGGGACATAGTACAGAGCAGGCACTAAAATCATTATTGAATTGGATGTGATTATTTTGCTCATGGTCATACAGCTAATAAATGTGGGGGTTGTGATCAGAACCCAAGTTTTCCAGAATCCAGGTCCAGTACTCTAGCCACGACAACATTCTGCCTGCCCACTAAGAAGGGGGGATGTGAGTGCACAGCCTCAATGGTCACTGGGCTGTACAATGCTGCCAGTGTGAGGCAGATGAGTCCCAGATGCTGCTGGACCGTGAAGCAAAACCCTTAGAGAGGAGCCGGCAAACAAATGCATTCTAAAGACAAACTCACCTACACTCGGATTGTCTTTGTCTTGGTAAGGTTGGATTTCCATTGTGCTGAAGGGATTTCCAGGTGCTCCTGCACCTGTGCCTAGGGGAAAGAGAGAGAACATCTCCTGGATGGATCACTGGCAGAGAGTGGTAGGCATCTGGGGACATGGGTTTTTTCAGATGACAGGAACTCAGAACTTTTCACCACGAGCCAACTCCCAAGCACGTTTTCCAGGGGCTCGAAGGGTCTGGCAAGAACAAGAGCTAGCTTTTCTAT